ATCACAACACGGTGACGAAGACAGTTATAAACCGTCTTCAGTCTACAACTGGTCTTGAAAATTATCAACAGCATTAGATTTAGCCAGTGTCAGCATTAGATATGTCCCGTTTCTTTGAAGTTTATCACTGTTATTGCTTCATCAATCCCAACCCATGCATCGAAAATTCCCAAGAAAATCACTATAGCAAGAACAATATCATTACATGAACGAATCTATTTTAAAATTTAGGGGAGCTCGCCTTGAGAATGGAGAAAAACACGTAAAAATTTTTAAAAAATTCAGAATCTTTTGCTAGAAAACGAGAGGGAAAAATGCTTGAATAAATGTGGTACATTTTTGGCTTCAAAAATGAAAAATTTGAAATAAAATTCGGGCGTTTGTAATAAGCCATGCAGATTTCGACACCCTGTATTTAGATCTAATCCATTCTGTCATTCGAATTCTCTTCTATGTAATGTAAATGGGAATCATTTTCAAAGACGTAGGGGACACCTTAGAGAGGCTTAGTAAAGAGACATTCGATTCATTTACTTTTCCACAATTATTTATCATTCAAAATGAAATTTTGTGTATTGCTGCAATAGTATATTACAGTAACAAGTGAAAAAATGACGGTTTTACTCACGCATGTATCGGATTTGCGAAATGAAGTCCCACAAAATTTTCGTAAATATTATGGGGGTCCAGGGTTCACGAAAAAAATCTCATTGATAATAAGGGGTCGCGATTGAAAAAAGTTTAAGAAGCCCTGATCTAGACAATCATGTGATTCGCGTCATTTACAGTAGTTATATAGCACCTTTTATCTAGTAATAAGATGAATCGATGACAGCAAACGTAACTTCATTGTCGACCACAGTCAGCATGCGCATCAGATATGTGATTTTAGAGTCACGGTTGAAGTGACATACTCACCCACTGCTATATTTAACTCAGGATGATTGATGAGGTTTCTTCATGGAATTGCTTTTAAGACATGTGATGGATATTTGTGAAGTTGCCCTAAATGACTGAGCCGGTCCAACGAATCAGCGTAACAATATTACTTAAACATACATTATTAGATATTATGAGCACACTATACAGATATTATGACATTACTGAGCTTAAAATATATTTAAATGCATTATCTAGAATTGTATAACAAATATTTGATAATTCACGTAGTTACCAAAATCTTTGCAAGCCCGTAATGAAATCAGGAAAAGACACTTCATAATACTTTTACTCAAGAAATCAGCTGCAAAGATTTGTTGAAATGTGAATTGTTTCAATGTTAAGCATTTATTCCTGTAACGAATCTTGAGTTAGTAGTGACTTTTGCAGTACATTTTTATAAATGGTAATCTCATAGTTACTGGCTTCATTTAGATTTGCCCCTGAGAAAATTTTTTGAGTATCCATACAAAAGTCTTAATTATAAAGAAAATTGCGATTAACCAAATGAGCAGCTTCTTAATGTTCATGTTTCAAGAAATTTTTAAAAAAACTCATAAAAATGATTGAGAGGGGCTGCTTCTTGATGGTGTCCCAATACAAAAGGTACCGGCACCTTTGTTCAGGTGGGCCACTGTGCTCCAAGACAGGAATCTATGCAAAGGTGCCTTGGTATAAAAATTGGCCGAATTCTTATGAAGGTCAATTTTGTAACTGAAGAAAGTATGTGTAGCTTTATACCATAGGATCCCTTACCAATACCGCTCGGCTAAGTCAGATGTTTAACAGAGTTGCGGCAATCGTTTGATTAATTGTCCTCCCTGATATAACATCATCTTAAAAGTCTGTTTAACTTAATTCCAAACAGAGCGGAAATGGAATTCCTTCCCGTATCCTATCAAATTTTTAGTCAAATCAAATGTAAGTGCGATGACCTTTTGCTACAGCGCCCTTTCCTCTTAGCACACATTAGGAAATCATACACACGTAACTTTATGATACTTGTAACAAGGTCTTTGTTCTCCGTGATCCATTGCGTGACCGTGAATTTTATTTCTATCCCAAATCCGATGAGTTTTTGACCCACGCACTTTCTAAAATGAACAAAAACAAAATCAAATGCAAAGCGGATTACAGAGTTTACGAAAGTGGAAAATGACTTTGGTGGGATCTCTCACTCGGATGACAAAGCAAGACGAGGAATTATTCTTTAACTCCTCTTAGGCAGAAAATTGGCAAAGCTTTCAATGTACTTTACATTCCCCTTTGTTGACGGGATTCATAACTTCATTCGGAAACTGTACTCTGTTAGATTAGGTCTGTAAGCAATGAAAACATTTTTCATGGTCATTCTTCTGACTTAGGTAGCCATTGTAGTGAATGCGCCAAAATAAGATCCACTCGAATGAGACTAAGAAGGTCTTCAAGACCTTAATGTTTCCGAAGTCTTTACTATCGTGCTTCTTTTATTGACTTTGAAAATACTCAAGACTTATGATTATCTTTTAACATGCAGGATACATTTCTTAATAGCGAAGTCTTGTGAGGTTTTAAAATAGCGGTTATCTTTTTGTTTACAAGCTAGCTTAAAAACAGTTACAGCAACTTCTGAATTTTGCTACAGATTACCAAATGACAAAATCTGTTTGACTAAACTGCTTTCATTTTTAGTTATGTAAACTCATTTAAAACGTTTTCATTATTTCATAGTTTGTGTATATAAAAGTCGGTGCAATAAATTATCGGACAGGAAATTAGGAATGTAACTTGAATATATTTACTAAATGCATTTAAAATTATTACGAATTTTGATATTGCAATAAATCTGCTCATAATCTTATAATTGTAAGCAAGTCATTAATGAATGGATGCCATAATTGCCATAATTGAATGGATTTATTGTTGTTGTTGCTCATTTGTCTGACCTATAGTCAGCCCAAGCCCACGAAATTGTTCATGGCAAGATACGCTTGCCGTTGGCAACAACCTTGCGCACCTAACAGGTAACAATGCGATTGAGCTAAGTTCGGCGCTCAATTTTGAAGGACAGCACTTCGGGGAAAGGGTCCGAAACCCTACCATCAACCTCTCGAGAGGACTTTCGGTTCGCCTCATATTTAGAGTGCCCTCATGCCGCACGGTCATTTCAAACATACATGCTGTCTCTGGGATTCGAATCCGGGCCCTTCGGCACGGCAGTCAGCGACGCTTAACCACTTCACTGTTTGGGCGGCAATGGACTCGTTAGATTATGGCAAAGCGAAGGATACAACCATGAAGAACTTTATAAAGAAAACTGGTTGGTATTTGCGTAGCACGCGAAAAAACCACGAAAACACCCATTTGTCCAGGATTTGAACCCGAGTAGGCCCACTAGCGGCCCAGCGGTAAAATCGGTGAACACTGGTAGTTCTGACCTGGGTTCGAATCCAGGCGAACGGACTGGCTGCATGGCCGTTTTTCTGGTTTTCTCCATGTGTAACGTGTATATAAGCCAAGTTTGCCTTAGAAAGTTCTCCACGAAGGAATCTCTTCCCTTAGGGAGACAGCCGTAGCGTGATTTACCATATAATAAACTAAACCAAAATTGAACCCGGGTAGAAGAACTACCAGTGTTCAGCAATTTTAACCATTCGTCAGCTGATAGGCACTTATTTGAAAAGTTGTTAAATAATAAAAACCAGCGAAAAAAATACTTTGAGAATATGAACTTCTTAGCCATTTTTAAAATGTTGTCCTTGTATAAACATACTCTTCTAATTAAAGCGTAATGATCCAGTCTGGAGAAGAATTTGGAGGGCAACCTTACTTTCTTCCTTCGTCAAAAAGTGCTTTTCAGTCAGTGCTTATTCAACTATTAAACAAAGACTAAAGCTTTTTAAATCAATGATCATGAAACTACAAAAGGCAGTTTAGTTCCCGAGCATTTTTCGAAACATATGAATAAAATATGCATAATTTATCGGTTACAGTTAATCCAAGAACACTAAAGTACAATCAGGAAAAATTTTGAAGCATCTTTTAAAGTTTGGGAATATAGTGCGATAGTATCTCGACTTATGAACTTAATTCACTCCTGTCCTCATTTCGAAATCCAGTTTTCCATTTTATTTTATGAGAAATCAATTAATCCTCTCCCAGATTTAGAATTTTTGAAAAATTAAAAAAAGAAAAAGTACGCAATCGTGTAGAAATTATACGTTTTACTAATAAAATCTTTCTTTTTATCAAAGGCTGTAAAAATAATCGTTAATTTAAAAAAAAAAAAAAAAAAAAAAAAAAAAAAAAAAAAAATTTTCTTGTGATTAATTTGATTGTGTTCTCATCGGTTGCTTTTTTTAATGTATTTAGTCAATTTGGAGGATATACGAAAAACTTGCTCAGCGATTACTGAGTCTGTTTGTCTAACATTTTTCTAAAATGATTAACGGTCTTTTCATTGAAAATATTGATAACTCTAGAAACAACCGTTTGATATGGATGCCACATGTTAACTAGTTTGCTAGAAGCGTTCTGATTCGCTAGAAGCGTTGTAAAATTTTCTTTACATCATTTGTTTTTACTGCTTCTTTTATTGCTACATTCTTCATCTTTTCTTTTTCTACTTCTTTCGTAACTTCTGTAGCTCTCCAGTGGTCAGTGGTACAAATCCGAAATATCGTGTTTCCCCATGTGTAACGTGAACATAGGCAATTTTAAGACAATCCTTCAGTAGTGTGTTCTCCTCTTAGGCAGGTAATCCATTTTTGCTTTGCCTTCATCAATTAGCCAATGAACAGACATCACGTAGTTAGTATTCATTCGTTAAAAATGTATCCACTACCCAATATAGTTGGCTTTAGGAATAAAATAATAATGATATCAGAGCATCATAACCGTGAACGTCAGTTTATTTATATTAAAGGAAAGTAATCAATCTTAACAACTCTGAATGTTAGTAGTGACAATTTAATAGTTCTAAGTGTTAAATATTGCAATGTGCATTTAGGAATCTCTAACACTCATCCGTTTAATTAAAGAAGTCATACTTATTTTTAATTTATCTGCATTATCACTAACAGGTCCAGCTGTCATATCCAGTGACCACGTACTGGAGCTGAATAGTGTTTTCCACACCGGTCAAGTAGAACCTGGAACGTGTTTCCAGAAGTTGACTGGTTCCGTCCCAACAGGAACAGTGCTGAAGGATGTGTCCATGGAGGTGCATGCCGGTGAAGTGATGGCTGTACTGGGTTCTAAAGGTGAGTGATGGAGATATTCTTATGGTACTGATGCCTAATTGTCCTTGTTTGGCAATCGTCTTTGGTGGTATGGATGATATTTAACCAAAAACCTAAATTATTTTGTAAAGGCACATGAAATATCTTCTATTCAGTCATACCATTATGTCACGTCAGGAAGTGCTAAGTAATAGGGGGACCGGAAAGTAATGTCGTTTTCTTACATTAAATTCAAACGAATACATTTTTAACAAGTTTTTATTTTTAATCAATAATATAATCACCCTCGTTATCAATAACCTTTTGCCATCTAATGTGCAGATTTTCAATCCCGGACCGATAAAATGAATTGGTATTTAAGTAAAATATCTGGAGAGCACATTTTGGACATCATCCAAATTTTCAAATATTTTGCCACTAAGAAAATGTTGTAGGGATCCGAATAAATGGAAATCCAATGCTGCGATATCGGCCGAGTATGGTGGGTGAGCATGGCAGTACCTCCCACCCCAATTCATTCATTTTTTCCAGTGTTCGTCTTGCACAGTGCGGTCTTGCATTGTCGTGTTGCAGAATGACGCCTTTACCGTTGACAATTGATATTTTTCGATTAAAGATTGGTTAAATAGATCCAATTGTTCCCAATAAAAGTCTTCATTAACATTTTTTCCAGGTTTCAGCAATTCAAAATGAAAAGTTCCGCGAATACTCCATCAAACACCCAGAAGCGCCTTTTCGGGATGTAAACCCTTTGTAACCCCTATTAAAACTGCCTTTTGAGTTTTGGATTATCATATAGGACTTATTTTTTTGTCTCCACTAATCAAACGATCAAAAATCGGTTCTGTATGGGGCCGTTGAAGCAATACGTTGCATGTGATGGATAGGTTGGCTTTGTTCTTTTCGGACAGATTATGGAGGACTCAAACACCTGCTTTGCTTATTTTTCCATTCTGCTTGAAATGTTCTTGCATGGTCGACCAAGGTTGGTTAAGAATATTTGACATGGATTTGCTCCACTTCTGCCCTTAGCATGTTGCTGTCGACATGCGCAGAAATGACATTACTTTCCGGTCCCCTATTAACTAAGATTTAAACATTAGTCATACAAGTTGTGCATCTTATACGAGCCTTCGTTTGAATGCTCCATTAAGAAAAATTCGCATGTGGTGTAATCATGATTTTGCAACTCTCTTTCATTGAAAATGATCATTTCTCCTCCATTCCTAGGAAAAACACTTTAAGAAATTTTAAATTTGAAAAATTTGGAACTTCTTGACCTATGTTATTTTTTCACTAAAATAAATATCTTAAAAAGATAGTTTTCCCTAGAGTAGTATTGAAATAAATGAATTATTACGTAAGATCTGCGCAATAGATAAATTAAACCATTTTTATGAATGCTCTAATTAGGAAGGAAGTACAAGCAGTAAAAAATAAATATTTCATCATTTTTATATTAACCAAGTAAACCAATTTTCGTTAAAATTTCCCTGAATTACAAAAATTGTGTAGCACTTAAGAGTGAAAATTATAAAGAAAATATGAATTTTGTTGTTCGCGTTAAAAATATTGTTGAAACGTAATTATTACAAAACAATTTTTAATTTTAAAATGCTTTTATTCTGTAGTGGTAAAGGAATAAATTAAAGATTTGAAATTTTCTTCGTATCGCGTGCTCTAAATGTCTTAAGACCCTTATAATAAATACTGCATAACATTTCCGCTTGGGTCTCTAGGTACAGAAAATAAAATAAAGCTGATTTGATACAGATTGCCATTGAAATAATAGCTTAACATTTTAAAAACTTTTTATTCATTTATTTATTTTAGGTAGCGGAAAACGAGCCTTATTGGAAGTAATAGGTCGACGGGCTTTGGGCATGACCAGAGGTCAGATCATACTGAATGACATATCCTTGACCTTACAGTTGTTCCAAGAACAATGCGGCTTTGTTCCCAGACAAGTGACCCTTCTACCGGGTTTGACCGTTCGTCAGACACTGATGTATTCTGCGCAGTTAACTATCGGATCTAAAGTTTCCAAGTCAATGAAAAGAAACAGGGTTGGTATTTAATGAATTTTGCAAATAGGTAAATGCAAATAGGCTAAAATTTGAAAGATTGCCTCTTTGATCGTTTAATTTGAAATATTGCCTAGTATTTAATGTTTTTTATTTGACTAAATCAATGGAAATTTATTTCTCAGAGTCACTGATAAACCTCCCTCAGAGTCTGAATATCAGGAATGTCGGTAGAAATAAAAATTGACAGCAGGCTCTCTTTTCATTTAAAAATCTGCTGTTGTTTAATGCGTAAGATTACTAACGGAAGTGTGAGGATGTTACAGAACAAATAAAACAAACAAAAGATTTTACGCACCCATACATTTTATTTTTTTATTTATTACATTTATTCATTCAAAATAATCCTATACAAACCTGGTCGATGATATGAGAAATAAGATACATAATTTAAGATGTCTGCAGTTATATTCCAAGTAAATATTAAATCTATAAATGAATTGCCAAGTGTACTTGGATATTCATTTGGCACTATATTGAGATTAAAATATTTTATAAAATTAAATGCTTTTTCATTTCGTATAAAATTCAGCAAATACCGTCCGAACACACTGACTGTCTATGCGCGACTGTCCACCAGACGATCTTGCCACTTGGCAAAATAAAATGCGGCAAAGACTACCCAAACATGACGACTTTGCGACTCATACGCAATCGCGCGGAGCTTTGACGTCACCAAAATGAATATCGCTATTTTTGACGCGTTACTATGCGTATACCCTTTGTCCAATTTTTATTATTATTACTGTTTTTTTAACGTGTTTGCTAATGTGCCTTTTTACTTATCTAATGATGTATTTAGATTGATTGCAACATTTACAGTTTCGAAGATATAAACATTCGCGCACTTAATTTTTGCTTTCCTGTCAGACCATTATGGAAGAACTTAATCCTACATTAAAAGAGTGTCTAGAGGGAGGGAAAGGTTTTTTTTCCCCTAAAGAATTGCTTGCCTTAAGAGGAGTTCCTCTCCCCCTCCCCAAATACGCTATTTTAACCATTTTCGTAATATTTCTTCTCAGCCAGATTTAATTTGACTGTCTTAATAACCGAACGTTCCTATCGATATATGAGAAAGTTTCTTGAATCCTGTGGACAGGAAGATCCTGTGTGGTAAAGTATCCATACAGCTATTTTGCCGATCTTTAAAGTAATATTTAAATTTTAATCTTAAAGTAATATTTAAATTTTAATCTTAAAGAAATATTTTTATATCAAAGAATTAAGCTTAGTAAGTGACAATATGTTATCCACACATAAAGTATTGAAGACGTCTCCCTTAAAATTAAGTTCTTATTCCTGTTTACGTCAGTTTCGTGGCGATCACATCAGTCGTATCTAAATCGAACGTGTAAAGTGATAAAATTTTTCATGCAAAATTAGTTGTAGTTATTTTTCTATAATTGCGTATGTGGCTGGTTTTGTTAACAACGTATCGAATTACACAGTAGAGAGGCAAACAATAATTTTAAAAATGTAAGCGATGTTGCAATTTTGTCAGAGGATGGTCTTAGGACTGTTTGTCAACTTTTGACAAATCATAATCATCTACGTGTTGTTGAAAGCACATTTCTGCTAACATTTTTGAACCAATAATAATAGATGCTTTAGAAATCATTCGGTTTTTAAATTTATAACAAGCTGAATATTTCGTAAATTTTTCCCGAAATGATTCTGGGTAGATCTTTGAAATACAACAATGACAAATTAACATCATTTAGCGAAGTTCGTTTATTGCCTTTAATAACTTTCCTCATATGTCCAGTCGATATTTCAGTGCATCAATAAATATTTCATAACGGACAATGATTTGAACTTGTATTTTCATAAATTTCTAAAATGATCACTGAAAATGTTGGAACTACTCTGATATGCGCCCTCAAGTCGCCAAATATTTTTGGCGAGAAACTGCACGCTGCCATATTACTATCTAAATCTTTGTCTACATTTCGAACTTTAAGCCTAAAATTCCCCGAAAACGTGGTTTTCGAAAATGCAAAAAGCACGTTTTGAACACACAATTTAAGCTAAAAATCCGAAACAAAAACAAAAAATTTAGATAGCAAAAACGTAAATTTTCTAACCGAAAATATTCGCAAGAATCCATCTACACAGCGATATGTTTTAACTTAAAAGAACATCTTCGAATGACACAATCTAAGCAACAAACGAATCAACGAACTACGCTCACCTCGCTTTAATAAATTAACATAATAATTATAAATTTCAAAGAATACCATGTACACAGCATCCTGTTTCAACTAGAATTGCACAATCTAGGCAACAAACGAATCTACGAACTATGCACACCTCGATTTAATAAATTTACATAACAACAATAAATTTCAAAGAATACCATGTACACAGAGTTCTGTTTCAACTTTAAACAACATCTATGAATTGCACAATCTAGACGCTACGCACTAATCAGCAAAATAAATTTCAAACAATTTAAAAAAAAACAATAACCACAGAAATTCAAGCTAAAAAAAAAAAAAAAAAAAAAAAACAATGAACATAACATTCTACAAAATAAGAACAAGAATAAAATGCACTTACCATGAATTAATGCTTTTTCGAACAGCAGAAATACCAATTTCATACCGCCTTTAACATCCCGCCACGTAATCACTATCGTATTTATATGACAGCCAGACATACTATCCAGAAAATTCATACTATGGTTCACAAATAAATAAAATCACAAATCCCTACTTCTATCATGCATAGCCACTAAAAATAATCTCCCAGACCCTCTTTCCACACCTCCAAATACCCACTACCCCTCAACAGGATGGCCACGATGATATTTCCTTCTGCCAACTTCAATTCAATAATCTTTCGCTCTATCTTCTCAGACACAGAGCATGACGCGAACCAACGAGCTCCAGCGAAAGATTTTTCAACGTCAGCGGGGTTGCTATACAACACACAATCGCGCTAAAAACCAGCGCAGAACACATATCGCCACATTTGGTGAAATTAAGGCGTACATCAGAGTTGTACCAAAACGTTTTTCAAGAATAACTTTTGTATCAAAATAGGTCTGTTAGACGTATCAACAGGTGATATCTGAAAACATTTTGGAACTGCTGATGTAGATGTTTTAGAAAATGCTCATTTTGTTATCTTTTATGCAATTTTAACATTTCATAACTTCTACCTTAGGTGAAGCAAGTGATGGCAGATCTTGCTTTGAATCAAGTATCCAACCGGGAAGTCAGCTCTTTAAAGCCGAGTGAATATAGAAGACTAGCCATTGGAATAGAAATCGTCAAAGATCCAGGTAATTAATTTTGTACAACGTCTGCAGTAGTACTATTACAACATTCTACACATGAGGTACTTCTTTAGAGTTTGATTTAAATATTTTTGACATACTACGTAATTCATTGATCAATTTTTTAATTCAGGACACTCAGTAATACAGCGTTTACACTGAGTGGTAGTAAAAATCCTTTCCTCATTTCAATATAATGAATATTGAATCTTGTAGGAAGAATAAAGCTAATTTTTCAGAATAAACAAAATACTTTTATTTAAATTTTAAAACAGAACCAAAAAAAAAATAAATACTGCAGCTCTAAACTATCAAAATTTTAAACTGTTAACTACTGCAGTTAAAACTCTTACAACCAGTCAAAAATTAAAACATTCAACTCTCTAAACAAAAATATATATAAAAATCTTTCGAATCCTCTTCTTGTTGCCACACCGTAAAATGCAAGTTCTTGTCCTATTATTTATATTTCACGTTTCTCTTTAAGTCACGATCTTCACAAGTCATGATCTTTACAAGTCACGATCTTTACAAGTCCCGATCTTTACAGTGGTCATAGTGAAAGAAAAATTAATGCTATGTAACAAAAAAGGTACTTGCATATTATCTCAACCGCCTCAGTAGAACTCGCCAAATTTTCAAAATTCGCCAAATGCGGGCAACGAGGCACATAACGATTCCTCAGGCAACCATGCTCGTAACAATCCTTCAATCAAGCAACGTTGCCATTTTTTTCTTTTGTTGTATTCCAACGGCTTTTTTAAACAAATCGTGATATTTTATGCCTCAGTTTAAAAATATGCTTTTATGGAATTTGCCAGCTGGAAAAAACTGCTGTAAAATTTCTTCAGAAACACTGAATTTTGAAGCAAAATTTCTAAGGGAACAACGAAGCGATGCGTTTGGTAGATAGCCGATGTTATCGGAGTTTGCGTGATGCCGTTTCTCTGATTTTTTTAAGTATAAACGATCGATGTGTACTTGGGGAGAAGAATAGCACAAAAAAGTACTGAAAAATTTGTGTTGAAATGTATGTTTTATTTTTTAATGTAATGCTTATTTAAACATTAAAATTTGGTAAAATTTTTCTAAAAAATGATAAAGAACTACCTTTTCTGTTTAGCAGACATGCACTTGAAGCATTCTATTCAGGTAAAAGTAGTTTATTTTTTAATCTGAAGGCTGGAGAAATTTGTATTCAATCCGTGTCTAAATAGTCTAAGTTTTCGTTAACTGATATAAATTTTTTCCATTTATAGATTTAAAACAGTTAAAAGATATTTTCGTCATGTTATCATGCATTTTCTTCCAGACTGAACTGCATAGATTACCTTGAAAAATGAGAGAGTTTTTCAGCAGCATATTCAATATCTAGAATGAGATCGATTTTTTTTTTCTGTGTGTGATCCTTTTTTAAAAATCTTTTTGCTTTAAAAGTAAGAAATAGCGTCGATGTAATTCTTTTATAAGATGAACACGGCTGTTTGTGAATTTAATGTTATTGAAACTAAATTTTTAGAAAATAAATACCGAGTGAATGTTATAGAATCGTAAATATTTTAAAGTTATCATATCTTTCTGCATAGATTTTGTTTCATTTGCTATATGTGCAAGTGCGTTTTAGTCAGGCAAAAGCTGTTTTAAAAGGGGAACTAAAAACGACAAAGGAATTAACAAAACAAAAGAAAAAAAATCTGAAAGGTTTCAGATTTTAAATTACGTCCAAAGGGGCGTTTTTTTAACGTTTTGTGTGTTACCTTTATTTATTAAATATCATGTTCTTTGCACTTAAACCATAAAAGTCAGTTCAATAGCAATGTCGCCAAATAATTTTAAAATGAGCATATCTTTAGAATTTCCGATACACGATTCCGCGCGCTGGAGGTAAAAAGTTTTTTTTTTTTTTTTTTTTTCCCATTGAGTGTTGCCATTGTTCGCTTTGAAATCCTTGAGTTTGTTTATCGAAAATTCGTTAAAGTTTTACAAATAATGAAATTGATCATAAAACAAATTCCAAATTTCAAATTTGGTCTTCCACATGCCCATATTCGTTCGTCATTCAAAATTCGATGGCTCTATGTAGGGTTGTTGTTTTTTCATTATTTAATTTCTTCAAATATAATGCGAGAATCTAACATTTAGTGGCAACAGTTTGAAAAGTGAAACGTACATTTATAGTGATTCAACGCAAAATGGCAAAACGAAAGTAATAGTCCTTCAGGAGCATAAGTGGCCGAGCGGCAAAATCGCTGAACACAGGTAGTTCGACGCAGAATGAAATGCCAGCGAACGAAATAGCTCCATGAGAGTTTTAGCCTCCTAGCACCTCTAAAGCCATGTTTCTCACCTAAATCCTTAAATTCTTCAACAAGCGCTGGATAGTGGAGGACGAGGATCATGCACCTGTTTACCTCTGGCAGACGCTAAATGCCCCGTTCTTCGTCACGTGTCTAACGTGAATGCGAACCGGTTTCCCTCAGAAAGTCCTCCATGATAGCCTAGAAAAGCATCTTTTCTGGTACGCCATGTGTGCTGTGCCGTAATCTAAATAATCAAATCCACTCTTAAGGGAATATTAGCATTAATATCCATCCTGTTAGTCATAAATATATAAATCACAGTAAATTATCCACTTAATAGAGAATTTCAGTGTATTTATTCAAATATTTTATTTTTTATTATATATTTCAATATTTATAATATTAAGAAAAGATAAGTCCTTCGTGTAGTTTATTAAATATAAGTAATTTGGAGAAAATTATTAATGGTAATGAACTACACAAAGGAGTTATGATTTTCAAAGCTTTCGAATATAAGTCTGGATAGACCCTCTGTCTCTGTTATTCAGGCTCAGCATGCTGCCAGTTATTTGAATTTCGTTTTTAGCAATTACCTTCAGTTTTGAGTACTTTGACTAACTATGAGAAATTATGCAAGATAAAAATGTTGCAACATTAGAAAAATAATTTATTAACGCTGAAATTAAAAATGCTATTAAAGGATTTGTCGCTACGGTATGTGGAGTTTGTATGAAACACAATTACTTTGGACATCCTAAACTGATAAAATGAATGATAATGTTAATTCCAGCATTTTACAAGAATATTATTGAAGTGTAAATTTTATAAATCTCGGTTGAGTAATTTTTAGTGCAGCAGTATGATAACTTCAAAAATGACTTAATAAATTATGTATAAATGAAACAGTTTTAACGCTTTGTGAATTCCCTTTGTGTCAGGAACCAAATACTCGTATATTTGATGCGGGAAGGAAAACTGGGAACTTTTTTAAGCAGTATCGAAAATAAGCGGAAAATAAAGCTTTCTTGCATATATTTCCTTAGGTACATAATTTTTCTTTGCAGCCAAGCAGAAGCAGATTATAAGCAACAAAAAAATATTTTGCGAATTTTTTTTTTCGTTATCACAGAAATAAACTGTTTAATAAAACATTAAAGTGGTTTCTCATTTAAAAACTTTAAAAAAAAATAAACTTGGCTCGATGCAATTTGTTATTATTTAAGACTAGCTATAATCCATGGATATCAGTTCGTGAGCTGAATTTCGTATTAATTTTTGTAAAGAAACTTATGTGACTTCACAGTTACTGCCTGACATTATGACCTGTTTCACAGTTCTTATTGAAAGGTTCTATTATAGTTAATTAAGTATTCTGAAATCAAACGAAATATTGATTAAAAAAAGGATTTTGTAGTATAAGCGGTGATTAAAACAGCCTTCATCTGCTATTTTGAACTGTTACAAAGAGTTCCATATAAAAAGTAAACTCTTCTCTGGTTTGTGTGAATTGTTGATCATTAGTGCCGTTTGAAGACTGAAAAGAAAATGTGATTTTATCGTATTATAATAATGCATACACAAGTCATGTTGATATTTTGCTACATACGAGTATTAAGTTTCTAGCACATCAGGTACATTCTGCAATATATATATATATATATATATGTAAGATAAAATTGTATGAATCAGAATTATAATATAACTATAAACATAAATAATCCTCTCTATTCTAAAATCGTAATAACTTATCTGCATTGCGTCATTCAAATTAATCATGCCGATCTTACGTAACCGTTAATACCAGATGCCTCTTGACAACCAATCACCGAATTGTAAACCAAAACTTTTCTCTTCGCGTGCCTCCATCTTGCATAACTACGCACTTCAGCTTTTTCCCTCTACTCTGCTGCTAAGATGTAATTTCGCTGGCTTGCTTTCTATCCCAACAATATCAAAAATGTAAATCTTCTGTGGAAAGGCACGACTAGAGTGCCAAGTGATTGTGGCCACAAATATCAATTGGAAATAAAAATGGAATTAAAACTGCCTCGACTGCCAAGTTCTTTAAATACTACGCAATCAAAATTCTTCTTCAATATGGGTCTAATCACGCATCTACAGTGTTCCGTTTTTCCTTTGCTTGTATTATGACAATTAAGGGGGCAGGATAATTTCCTGCAGCCTGAAACCTCAATGAAAAATTTAATTCAGCTCTTCAAATCATCGTTTTGTGATAAATCCAAGATAATGTGAAAGAAGTGAATCATCAAATTTGTTTTTTCAGTGTTTAAAAAATAACAGATCATTCTTCTGCTATGGTGTTTTGCAAGTGCTTCAAAAAAATAATCACGCGTAGTGTTTACAGATTGAAAGTAATCTCTCGATAAATTAAAATAAAAAGTTCGAATGCCTAGTGAAAGTTAAATCATCAGTGAATAACCGTTTATGAATTTAAGCATTACAGCGAGTTCAAGGTCGATCTGAGTTAGTGTTTTCAAGTACGTGTGACAGAAAATTATTTGCACTTCCGCTTTTAACAGCTCAAAAATTATTACATTCGTGTGAATCTAGCTGAGGAACTAAATTATTTAATGTGCTGCGGATTCTATAGTTTATATTTCAACTTTGGTTAAAATTTCTGCAATTTGTTTTGAGAAAATCTGAAATTCTTGTTCATTAATTTTTCATAATTATGTGTGAGCAAATTAAGTAGTTAATTTTAAGCTATTTAAATTATTCATAGGGAAGGATATTAAGATAAGTTTTTATGTTTTTGAAATTTTGTTGAGAATTTTGAATACGAATTTTATAATTATTCTAAAAATGAAGTTGGTGTAAAAAATAAGTGAAATTATTACAGATACGTAATATGAAATTATGGTAAATGCATGTTAAAATTTATGGGTTATTGTGCGTTAAGTATAGTATGATGAGGGTATACTGGTTCCTTCAACAGATGCCTGTAATTACCTCTGTACAGTTGTTTCCTTCACCCTCTTCAAGTAAGATAATGTTGGAGGCTCTCATTTTATGAGTGTGTGTAATTTTTTTTCTATTATTATTATTATATTTTTTTTATTATGGAATGTATTAATGCAGTTCTCAAAGGCCAGTTACCTTAATGCAAGGAACGGAGGTCTTTTCACGTAACGGTCTAGGCACCCTGGGCCACCAGTGCAGAGAACACATTGGTTAGCTCACGAGGACAGCCCTATTGATGGATATGTTTGTTTAGAAGTACTGCGAGGCCTTCCAGTTTGGTAAAATCAGGAATTGTAAATGAAAGATGATAACGGTGAAAACCATAATTTCTGAAACTGTTACTCCTATTAAAATATAATTTTTCAATATGGATATTAGTATCATAAATATTTATGTGCATTACATTTAATTATAAGTAATGATTATGTAAAAATTTTTGTGATATTCTGTAATAACAAGAACCTTCCCTGAAGAATTATGATTATGTGAATTCTCAAACAAAAAGACTTTTGGACTAAAATGCTGAAAAAGTCAATAGGACTCTAAAAATTAAAAATTTATTCAAAAAATTGATATTTATAAATAATACTTTACAGGATCAAAATTTTATTATTTATTTATATTTTTTTAAATTTGCTTGTACTTTAACTCTTTTTCTTTAAAAAGGCTTCTCTGTCGCTACGCCTTTTTCTTTTTGAAGGGGTAATGGTAATATGTAAGATAAAAAATATGTAAAGCAAACTTCTAGAATTCAATTCGCTATAACCGCATAAATTCTTCCTCTTCTATTCTGGAAACTTCATCTTTCTGCCCTAATAAACTTAGCTCTGCAGTTTAAACTGCGTCATTCAAATTAATCATGCGATCTTACGTAACCGCTAATGCAGATGCCTCTTGAACCAATCACCAAATAACAAACCAAAACGTTTCCCTTCTTCGAGGGCTTCCATCTTTCATAACTACGCACTTTCAGCTTTTGCTCGCTACTGTGCTAAGATGTGATTTCTCTGGCTTGTTTTCTATCCCAACAATATCAAAAATGTAAATCTTCTGTGGAAAGGCACGACTAGAGTTCCAAGTGATTGTGGCCACAAATATCAATTGGAAATAAAAATGGAATGAAAACTGCCTCGACTGCCAAGTTCTTTAAATACTACGCAATCAAATTCTTCTTCAATATGGATCTAATCACGCATCTACAGTGCATCTACACTGCTCCGTTATTTCCTTTGCTTTTATTATGACATATAGGTATGGAAGTGGTGGTGAAGTGTGGTTGACAATCACTGGGCACAAGGTCCGTAAAGTGGAAGTAGTTGATTTGATTTACTACCTTACCACTGTCAATGTGGATATTGTCCAGCCACACTGGCCCCCCGCCAGGCATTGCTTGCGATAGGATGTATGTTCTGCGTTTCACACTACGGAATCTGCTTCTTGTGGTGGGTATTAGATCTTGTGTTCATGTTCGCGGTCCTTGACTACGTAACTGATTACGTCCACAATCCCCAACCATGGTATATATAGGTATGGACATTATGACCCAACCATGGCTACAGTGTTCCGTTTTCCCTTTGCTTGTATTATGACATATATATATATGTCACGGTGAAACACCGAAATCTGGAGAATGTCGACTTTCACCGGTGAATGTCAACATTCACATAGTCGCTTGGTGTATGTCCGAAATATTTTCCAAATACTGTATTTCTGAATATATTTCTGAGTTAACCGGTGAATGTCGACATTCACCATGCACTAATGGTGAATGTTGAACATATAAAAATATTATATTTCCTTCTCCGTAATTCATTCGCGAAAAAACGCACTTGAGACTCAGAATAAGAAAGAATATAAGAACTTAAAACACACAGTACATTCAAAATGAGAAAATAGAAGTTATAAACTTACCAAATTATGTGATTCAAATCTTATTTATTACAACAATTTAAACTATTATGACACTTTGAATTGCACAAGAGGCCCTTGCTTTTACAACTGCATTTATTTGTGGAACACTTCCTTTTGGAATGGCAGCGTGTACATATACTCCTCTCTTTTCGACCTACACCAGAGCATATCTGTGATTGTCGACATACACCGGTGAGGGTCCGAATATACAAGAATGTAAAGAAATATTCGATCTTTCACCGACGTATTTGGTGAATGTTGACATTCTCCGGTGAAAGTCGACATTCTCCAATTTCGGTCTTTCATGGTAACATACATATATATATACACAATTTAAATGGTATTGTAGATTAGTTCGCAGCAATAAATTAATCACTTATTTGTAATTCAATTTCATTTGAAATTTAATTAATTTTAAATTTGCTTTTTACGAATAGAGAATGTTTGCTAAATTCAAATATATATATATAAAGGAACAGTTCCATATCTCTCGTTCTACTGGACCGATTGAGGAAATTGAGTTTGCATTTTTCATGCTTCGATGCTTTCATGCTTAGGCTGTATATTAGATTTATATATAGCTACGGTCTAACATAGGTATTTTGACACAAAATTTCATGTTTCCTGAAATGACTTACCGATTTTTTTTTTCCATATTTCGATTCTAAGACTCAGATTATGCCCAAATATTAAATCTTGTAAAATCTAGTGAGAAACTTACCGAGAAATTTAAAAATTGATCTTGACGCACTTTTTGCAGTTTGCGTCAAGAATAATTGACATGACGAAATTCTTAATTTATGGTAACCTATTTTCCTTTCCTTTTCATTGTGCACGAGCGGGAAAAAAAAAAGGTGAATCGTTCATTCTTTCAAATAATTGTAACAAAATGCCTAAAGCACATTTGGCGTTATTATTGCTTATAACAAATATACCAAATTTCAAAACGCGCCAATATATAATTTCACATACATCTTTGGAAATTTTGAATAAAAATCTCTGTTTTTGAGGTATGCCGAGAAATACATACATTAAGGTGGTAATAAAAATTTTTAAAGGTAACAATTTAAAATTTTTTTCTAAAAATATACAAAAATCACTCAAAAATACCAATTTTAAGCACAAATCAGAAAATAATTGCTCACTTTATTTGGACTTAATCTAAATTTCTAACTATGAAAGAAAGAATCAATCAAGTTTAATAAAAAACGATAATAAATATATACCAAATTCCATTAATATTAGGGAACTAAAACTTTGAGAGATAAGTTAAAAACTATTCCTGCGATTTTTACAAAACTTGGCATAGTTTGAGTCGTAGAATCGAACTATGGGAAAAAAATGGGTATGTCGTTTTAGAAAAAGTTCGATTTTATGTCAGAATACCTATGCTAGAACAACGCTATATATAAATTGAATACATATCCTAAGTCGCGCTTTCGAGGCAGTAAATACTCACGTTAAATTTTGGCAATTGGTCCGCCCACCAGCGGCCGAGCGGTAAAGTCGCTGAACACTGGTAGTTCGGTTCGAGGTTCAAATCCCGCGAACGGGCTGGCTGCATGGGTGTTTTCCCCATGTTTAACGTGTATACGAGCCAGTTTTTCTTAGAAAGTCCTCCACGAAGGCATCCATCCCCGTAGGCAGATAGCCCTCGAGGTTTTGCCGTAATTAAATAACCTAACCTAACCTTGTCAGTTTGCCCAGTAGAAGGTAAGATGTATGTTCCAGACCGAATAACAACGATTTTGTGAAAAACATATTTAGTACTGAGTTTTAATATGTCAAAAAATTACAGCATGATCAGATTTTGTAGTAATGTTTGCATAGTGCCCATCGTTAACTTAAGCGTACGCATATTATATTTGTGAAAGAAATTAAACTTTTCCTTTCTCACATTTCATCAAATTTCATTAAAGGAAATATTGTTTTAAACTTTCAGAGGCAAATTAAGATACAGTAAAATCTAGCTAGTAAGGCCAGTATATAAGCAAATGTTGGAACAAGAATACTTAAGTTTTGAAATGCAAACATATTTGAATTCCTTTTTTCATACTTAATTTTTTTTTTTTCTCTTTAATTTTTTTTCAAGTAATACTTCAATAGACTGTTTTGCTTTGTAGTTATGATTCTATTGGATGATCCGACGTATGACCTTGATCCACTGAATACGTATTTCGTGATTTCCATATTATCTAACCACGCCAAGAAGTATAACAGAATCGTTGTCCTCAGCATGGAGAAACCAAGATCTGACATTTTTCCTTTCTTAGATCGAGTAACCTACTTAAGTCTTGGCGAAGTAGTATACACTGGTAAGAATATACTTGCATTTAATATTTTCTAATTCATATTACTCTATATTAATTTTTTTTGTTTCAAAACATTTTTCCAAAGTATTGCAAAGTATCAGTGGCGAAGGAAAAAAAAGTTTGTTTCTATTTGTGTTAACCTTTAACCGGCTAGGTCGTGTATACTATATATGGTCTAAAATACTTTCTGTGATGTCTGTAAGAACGTATATGTATATATATATATACCTGTACTTTTAAATAAGTCAAAAGAATTAAGGCAAGGTATTAAAAGTACATAAATCAAGGTACGAGGGACATTTTGTCTTTAAAATCAAGAAAAAACCTCTTTCTTTTGGTAGTTTTCGGAAGTTTAGGTTTTCTTAATGAAACCCCATGCCGGTCAGAGGGTTAAAAGCCTATCAGAATATTTAAACTCGTAACTGCAAAAACTGTTATACAGAACTTATATTTCTCTAAAAGGATCGATCTATTTCTATATAAATCTATCTATTTCTCTATAAATATTTAGCTATCAAGTAGTTTGCGTATCTGAGAAAGGCTTTGCATAGAAAATGCCGTGTTCTGAATATTTTGTTACAACGCTATGAAAATTTCGTGGTATTGTCGAACAAGGGCTATTAATTCAGAAGTCAAACAACAAAAATCAGAGTTATATTTTCAAATTTTCACAGGACTAGTTTCGATGATGTTACCGAACCACCATCCTCAGCTGCAAAAGAGCAAATGAACGAGATAGGATAAAATGATTAGATAAGATAAGAAAGCCAGGACAGGAGATAAGCTAGTGGCGCCATCTGTTGATGAAACCAGAACTAAAACATAATTTCTTTAAAGGCCGAAGGCAAAGGTGGATTGGAATTAGGATCGTTAACTAGAACAGAAAGTTTTTTTTTAATGTTGAATGTGAAAAGCCTCTAGAAAATCTAGTTTTCCAATGGAAGATGTTTTTTGAATAATTTTGGTAGCAGAAAAATTGAAAGTGTGATTTTCGGACCAACAATGTTGGGCAACAGAATATTCAAAACATTGTTGGTCCGAAAATCGCTACTAACAACAACGCGTTGCATCAACTGTGGGCTGAATTAAAAGATATTGTCTGAAATAATGATATGTTAATTGCAGTTTTAGAACTAGGCATGCATACGAACATCAAAACGCTTTAATAGCTGAGTCAGATGTACGCAGTAGCAAGCCCACCATTCAAACCCGAATATTCAAAACAATCTGCTGAAGAATATGGCTGTTTTAATTACATTAGCTGAAACAAGTCTGTAGACAATATTTAGAATCTAAGAAAAAATATTTAGAATCTAAGAAGTAACGAAAATTAGTGTAAGAATTAATTGAATCAAAAGCATTTTTGCAATCTCATCTGCACTGCCCTTTCTCAGCAGCGGAAAAGGGCAATGCAGCTGAAAATCTCTAAACAGTACTGATCCAATAAATGCAATTTTCATTGTTTCTTAGAATTTTACTGATTTTATTTGGCATGCCATTTTTAACGTAGAAGAATGAGTGGCGAGGTTACCTGAACGTGCATTATACCTAAGGTCTCACGTTGCCTTCATCGGGACATATCTCTGATTCATCTTATTATCGCAAAAATTGAAGTAAACAGCACAGGTAGGTTATTAACGTAGTGCGTGGTCTTAACGTTTGAGATCGCTCGTTCTGAATCTAAAGAAGACGAAAGGTCATGGTGACGACTACCCCTGCTTTCAGTTCTCACGAACTCATGTCATGTGTGCAAACTTTGCAGCACTTCAATTTGACAGTCACAGGAGACATGAATTCAAGATAGCTTAGATCAGGTTTGTAGTGCAAATGGAATGAAAGCATATTTCAACCATCCAGCATAATGACGCATTTCTTAAACAAAGTACAAACGTTAGATTCATGTTTAATCTAGGAAAAAGTGCCAGGGAACCAGTCGAAGCTCCCAGAACTGTTTATAGACATCATATTTTGAAGAAATAGCCGTCTGTAAGGGGTTCGAGAAATTCAAGACTGATCAGGAATCGCTGGAAGATGAGCCTCATTCTGGCAAATCGTTGGATGTTTAAGAATAAAAAATTGTGACAATAGTTAGGAAACAGGCAAGCGCTAATCGTTGAATTATATAAGGTAAATGAAGAGTTGAACATCTCCATTGAATCGACTTGCATTTGGTAAGAAAGTTTAGAATGAGCCGAACACGCTGAAAATTTGTTCCGCGAATTTTGAAGGATTATCAAAGGGAATGAGGAAAGCAATTTAAGTCCCAGTCATATTATGTTTCGGCTACGCGGGACTTAACGTCGAAAGGGACAATTCTCAGAATCCGTACACTTCCAAGAAACCCACGTAGCTACGTTAACATTTTCACTTACTACAAAGACTTGAACGCCAAACACTAATTGATTATCGCTCAGATTGAGATCACGTGAGGCTTCAGAAGCAGAACTTTCGTCTGATTGGTTGTCTCTACCCGGGATTGAGGTCCAGCCGAAACATTTTCGGTGAGTTTTGAAAAAATCCCGCGTAGCTGCAACATTGTTTCCGTAGCTAGGCGGGAGTTCACTTCAAGCAGGGATCTTTTTTTTAGGAATCTTCCCGTTTAAGCCAGTGATACCAGAATCTCGTTTCTCAGAAAAGTCCCGTCTATTGGGAACTGTAGCCATGTGTGATAACCTCTTAAGAAAGCTTATTTATTTATTTGAGAGTACTACAATAAATTCTAGCTTCATGAGCTACGTTATCGTTGGGAAGGAAAATGTTGAATCATCGCGCTTTTTGCTTAAGATTCGAAGACGAAAGCCCAGTCTTATGAATGGCAGTACCAACATCTCTGAAGGCCCCAAACAGCATGAAACAGAAGATTGAAAGTCAAGGCCATGTTGATCGTTTTGACAATTAGAGCATTCGCTGCAATGGTTTTGGGCTAACAGTTCTTTATTGTCAGTGCTTCATACAAGTGCTTGTATATTCGCGCGACAGAGTGGAGAAAAATTGAGGACTGAATGGGATTGATCTACGATAATGCTTCCAATCACATGGCGATGTCACTTAAAGAATTCTTTGGGCAGAAAGTGATCTCTTTTTCCAAATATCTCGTTGTTTTATCAGATCTCTTATCCTCTGACTTCTAGCTGTTCTTTCTTACTAAAATAGTTTTAGGGAGTCAACATGTTTTCACAATTCAAGTCATCTAAGATAACTGGATGACACATCTCTACAACAATTATCAAAACAGCCATTTTCTCAATGCTTCCAAGAATGCTAAGAGCTCGGGAGCAAGTGTGTGTGGTCCGATGAATATTACTTCGAAGGTGATTAGATAATGTATGTATTTAAAAGAAAACTGCTTAAAAAATCTTTTAGGGCATTTAAGGCCAAGCTTTTGAATACAGGGATATGCCATCTCTTAATGCTACGCATGTCGGTTTACAGTAAGGATATAACAATACCTGCGTAAGATATTGCGGCTGGTAGTCCGTATCATCCGTGAACATTGCGTTCCTTTCAAAGGGTTCCTGGACTGAAGAGTCCTATCCCTGTCGAACTTGCGTCACTTTTCGAACATTGAGATCATACGTGTGTCAATCAAATTTTCATTGAGATCAATCGTGTGTCATCAGGCAGAGTCAATAAGCAAAATATGGCATTAATTGTAGATCGATGCTGAGATGGTGATACATGCACTCGGGAAAAAGCAGCCGGAAAGTATTTCCTAGGAGTCAGGCAGATCTGTGCGTTGGGAGAAGCAAAGTTGAGGGCAGTGTCGATGGGCGGAGAGAAGGCTGGTTGTAGTAGAATTTCATCAAGTCACATGATGAGGTGTAGCCAATGGTCGATGAGAGAAGTGTATTTCTGGAAGAGAGCTGAGGGGCCTCATGCAAGCAGTAGTTTTGTGTGAGATTAAAGTGTGTTTGGATTTAGAAATATATTTTCAGCTTTTTTTTTTTTTTTTCAATTAATTAAAAATATTAGCTTCCTCGCATATGTTAAATAAGATGAGTTATTTTTCCATTGGTGTATCAACTGTTCTAAGCTGTTCTATGTTATGTTTAAGAAGTGTAAAAAATTTAAATATATTACTGTTGCCGAAAATCATGTTTAATTCTTTTAATGTGGAAAATATGTCTGTGAAAGTGTTGGGACTGGGTGTAGTGTTGTTGTTCTGGTTACTGGTGTTTTGAGTGTTGATTGATGTAACTTGTGCGTAAGTTCTACCTTGTGTGAGTGTGGGTGTTTGTGAGGTGATGTTTTTTGGAGTTAAGAGTGTAGTTTAGGTGAACTGTTGGTGTTTCTGAGTGTGTTTTGGGGAAATTTTTCGCAACCGCGATAGGAAGCTGGGTGGTTCTTGGAACAATTAGCACAAATAGGGTTATCAATTTAACCTTGTGTGGGGCAGTCTGTAGTTTTGTGTTGTTGTGCGCATTTAACACACCTAGGTAAAAAGAAGCAATTGTCTGAAGAGTGATTGAAGCGTTGGCAGTTGTGGGCATTGAGGTGTAATATTTTTGTTCATGTATTTTTCCACTGTGATGATAAACATACCTAGGTGTGTTTCACTGTATATTTTGTCTATGTTGTGTGTCTGCATGAGTTGTACTTGGAAGAGTGGCATAGGTTGTTTGGTTTTGAATTTTGTTAGTTGAACGACTTTGTGTATCCTAAATGTGTGAGTTCTGTGGATATTTCTTGTGTTTCTGTTGTGATAGGTAATCATCTAATAACTACTTTAATAGGTCTTTTATGTTTTGGTGTGATAACGTAGTGTTCAATGTTATGTTTTTGTAAGTCTAAGGTGAGCTGTCTGTGATCATCTGTTGTGGAAGGTAATAATTTAATGTATTCTCCGCTTATTTTTCCATAGAAAGTGGCTTCTGTGAGTGTTGAGAGTTTTTTAATGTACTGGTTATGTGTGGCGCCATCTGCCGGCTTAACCATAATTGGTGTAGGTGTGCTGTAATTTGTGAGTCGAGCATCTGGTGTTTGTGTGCTATTAATTGATTGTGGTGTTTGAGTGATGTGTGTGTTGGGTTGAGAAAGTGCGTTAAAGTTGTTCTGAGTGGGAATAGAGTTTGATGGTATATTTTTGGGTACTTTAGCAGTCTTGAGTGGTTTCTGAAAGCCATCCGGGTCATCTTCGCTGTCTGGAGTATCATCTGGTTTGCGTTTGTGTTGTGTGATTGGTTGTGTGGAGCTTGCATGAGAAAGAGCAAATTTTAACTTACCCCCTCAGCTTTTCAATCAGTTTCTTCTTATTGTCCATATCCCTTTTCAAAATATCCGTATGGTAGTCACGGTCCGTAACGAGTCTGCCAGCCGAAAGTACATTGAAGTAACGTTTAGCTGTCGTTAGTCGAGCTTCTTCGTCCTGAATTTCCAATCGTAACGTAGTGATTTCTTGATCGGTAAGAACATGATCAGTGCCCTGGTCCAATTCAGTGTCCGCCGTAATCGAGTTGTCCGAGATCGGATCCGTGCCTTTATCAGGTGGAACCGCTTCGCTACGAGGAGTCTGCTTAGTACGAGCCATATCGACAAGTCACGATTTCGTTAAGTACGAGGTGTTTAAAAATACCTTCTTGTCCAATTAAGGATTTATAAGACACTAGTGGCCATCTAGAAACTATCTCTAATCAATGCTGTCAAATGGAGATGGATCGTGTATTACATGTTCACAAATTTCTAAAAATTAAGAAGACTTTGAGTTAAACGGCACGTCGATTTGCTGAATGTTTTTTCCGACACGCGACTGGACAACCTAGGGAATGGTGCCTCTCTACAATATGTACTTAACCGTTATAATAATCGTAAGGTAAATAAATTTTAATGCTGAGATTTTATGTTCAAAACCCAATTTTCTATGTATTTGATTTAGATTTAGCTCTCATTTTATACACTTACTTCTTTCTTAGACGTTTAGTAACCAAAAATGCATTCTATTGTTTAATGTAGTCCTGCCATCTAGTGGCAAAGGAAGCAACTTAAAGCTATCGTAAACTTTAAAACACAATTATTTATTAACGTATTAGAAAACTCTAAACGATGTGATATGAAATTCATAGTGTAAAGTTTTATCTTGTAAAACAGTTTTAAGGCTTTAAAAAAGGAATTGCGACTATTTAATAATTACATTCTTATGCTACAAAAGAGTTTAGAAAGTGATTTCATTGTTTAGCAGTTTTATTTGATTGTTTAACTTATGCACTTGTTTCATATATCTTCTAAAATAATGTCATAATGATGACGACGACGTTGCGAAAATTTCTGTTTGAATAACTAGGTTGAATGTATGGAGTTATCTCCTAACAAGAATATAACCATATTTTTTTATAGAATATCTTCAACAAGCACTTTAAGGAAAATAACATTCAGATGCTTTGCCATATTAAGCTAAATGAGCCAAAACGATCGAATGTTATAAATTGTAACAAAATTAGTCTATAATGTTTTTTATTAAAAATAACTGAAAAATATAGAATGGTGCTTCTTTTTCTTTGAAAATATTGATAAAGCTATGAATTTTGATTGCATGATATGGCAGAATAACATACTCCTTAAGAAAAATTACAGTGAGCTGATAGTTTGAAGTGAATGGTAAATGCTCTTTCATGAATATGTTGCAAGAAACTAAGTATTCAGGTTGGTTGTCTTTATATCCAAGAAATGCTTTGTAACCAAGAAAATGCTTTGCATCCAAGAAGAATAATGAATTAAAAACACATTTGAATGAAATATGCAACATGAAAAAGATACTGAATATTGTGTATATTACTGGAACACATTTGTGAATGATATTCGGATTTATGAAATATCAAAGAATATATTTAACTACTGACTGATTTTATCTCAGCTGCTATTTAATGAACTTTGTACCTAAATGCAGTTCTGAATTTTTTAAGCTTTTTAGTGCATTTGTTGTATTGTGTATATAATCAGCTGTTAGAATTCTTGTTAAAATTTTTTAGAAGTTTGCCCGAAAATTGATGACTGTTATGAAGACATACGATGACAGATCTTTAATGGTCGCACTTAACAAATTTTGTATTAGTTCTTTAAGCAATAAAATTTGGATTATAGTAAACCAAATATAATCCGTTTTGATTAAATTTGAAAAAAAAAAAGTAATAATAATAATAAGTACCCACACTTAGTGCTGAATTAATAGCTACATTGTAATTTAAAAGTATGTTATCAAATGTAACATAAAATCAAAAATAAGATAAAACACAGAAACTACTTTACTTGATTGAATTTTTAATTTCAGCATTTCATTGATTATTTTCTTATTTTGGATCAGGCTTCTAAGAAAAGAGAAATGACTACACAGTAAACCGATAACAATTCATAAAGTAAAATATTTCACAAAATTTATATTTTAAAAATTCTGTAATTTTGATTTATATGACTAGGAAGCACCAGAATGTTACTTGATTACTTTGGGAGCATTGGCTTTCCATGTCCAGAATTAGAAAACCCTTTGATGTATTACCGTAAGTAATTTTATTTCCATTTTATAGCTCTTGCATTTGTAAAGTTTTTAAATGATCTATGTTTTGCATTGGTGTATGTATCATTTCATTCTTCCTTTTAATACACTGCATTGCACATAAAATTTTAACTCTCAGCTGGTTATCAACTTACTTTAAGGGCAAACAACAGCTATTTAATAATTTTATCAGTTTTAAACTGTTACTCATTTTACTTCTAGATTTTACATGAGCTCCTTCAAAAAGCTACTTTGAAGTTAAACATAATAATGCTTCTCGATATTGTAAAATATTATCCAAAATGTAGAGCTCAAATATGGCTATGTTGGATTATTTATTCTTACCACTTTCAAAAATTTTTTGGTATTTTTACTGTGTAATATATAAAATGTAAACTGAGTAATATATACAAAATCATTATTTATTCTATTTGTATTATTAATTTTATTAATACTAAAAAAATTAATTATATTCCATTGAAATATTAACATAAGATTAAGAACTAACGAAGTAGTGAATAAACCACTGCAGAAAACTGAATAAGTGATAACCTTGAAAAAATTTTTTTGAATTTAAGGGAACATGAACTAAAGAGGTTTTTATGTTTACCATGATATTTTCATAAGGGGGTTAGGGCTTGAGAAATATAAAATGATATCATTAATTTATATTATTTTATCTAAATTCATTTTTATTATTTATATTACCCATTTCTGTACTAAAACAATTTAGTAAGGCCAAATGATTTAATAATGCTTTGATAAAAAAATTAAAATTTAATTGCTCATTTGCTGCTCAACGCTGGGATATGGGTGTGATAAAACAACATCTGGCTAAATATTTTTGTTGGTGAAGAAAAATGAAAGAAAAACAAAAGCTGTTAAATTATAAAAATGTACATAAAATATTAACATTTTCAACAAAGCAATGAATTCTGTAACAGCAATCAATGATCAATAAAATTAAAAAAGCAGAAAAAAAATCCATAATAAAATATTAACCTTTCTGAAGAAATCCTTATTTTTTTGCACTGTTGTTCTCTCCATGTATACAGTGATTTGTTTTTTCTAATTGCGTAAATTTGACATTTTACATGTTATTGTTTTCCCACATGCTTAGCGATCTGTTTTCGCTTAAAAAACATCAACAAAAATGTGCTTTCAGCGCATAACTTTTGATCTTTTAAGAAGTACAGCTTTTCGTTCTCTACAGTTGATAAAATGCGACATTCCTGAATATATGCAACACTTTTTTTTTCTTTTCATTAGTTGGCAAACTCCGTAGTCTCATTACACTTCCTACCAAGAAAAGGAAAAAAAAAAAAAAAAGTCTCATTGCAACAAAAGCAATGGCTAATGAATTTTAAAGTGGAAACCCTCGCTGATCAACTACACACATGTGCATACTCTGATTGCCACATATACACATTTTGCCAACGTCATGCGTTGCCCATTTTGGCAATATAACATATTATCTCATTAATAGTTTCAGACGGTAATCAGAAAATACCAAAATACAGATAGCCAGTAATAGGCACTGCACATGGCTAAAGCCATTTCTGACATGCAGTTTGAAGAACAGTTCATTTAAAGGAACAAAAATTTGCAATAGCAACCAGAATAAGGTGAACAGCAGTAAGCATACAAGTAATTAGGCTGAAAAATACGAGGTCTAAGATAATGATAGATTGCCTAATAACTTTCTGTATAATATATACAGTACAAAGTCCATAATCCGAACTCGTCAGGACTTCAGCGATTCAAGATTAAGGGTTTTTCCAGATTATAGATCATCAATTTAAATCTGGTAAGATGGCATGCAGAAATTATACAATTAAAAATATGAAACCGTAATTTATGAAATAAAGAGCAATTATGATCTAAAGGGTATCAAATTTTACAAAAAAAAAAAAAAAAAGCTTAATATTTATTTGTTTACTTTATTAAACAATTCTTTCAACGCGCGCATGCGTACAGCATGCATTACGTGCATGCGTAAAGCATACCAAAAAATAGTTTGTGGCCTTTGAGGTCCAGGTTATAGATCATTCCAGATAATGGACGTCCGGATTACGGACTTTGTACTGTATTCACATATAAATATATGAACTCCATCAAACAAATCTTTTATAGTTTGTCTGTCAACTGTTGATCGAAGGACAAGAGAAAGATTTGTGGAATCTAGTACTCAAATATCTGCTTTAGTAGAGAAATTCAAAGTAGAGGGTGCTCATTATAGGAAATACTACTTACCTGTTACCGACACACTGGTACAGAAAGACACTCGTTATAAGCTACCTCTTACTGCTTATGGCCAACCTTCCAGTTGGCAAGTGTTATGCACATTAATTAGGTAAGTTTGGCTACCATTTTTACATATCTGTTCATGTGTGGATTTTCTAAATGAAAATTTATTAAAACACAATTTGCCACTTTATTAATTTTTAGTTGAAATACTCAAAAGAAAATAACTTTCTCAGAATAACTGTGTAATAAATTAGTGTTTTGCTAATATTGGGTCTAGCGATGTTCTTTTCATTTATCCGAGGAGAGTTGTCAAGATGCATCTAGGCCTTTGAAAAAATTCAGTATGAAACTTTTACAAAGTGTTAGGAGGGTATGAAAGGCTGATATGTGTCTCTAATTTAACTTTTCTTCCCCGCCCACTCATTATAATTGTGTTCTGTTAATAACTGTTAAATTTTAAAGTGGAAATTCTGAATTAAATAGTATAGCTTAATTAAATAGCTATACTATTTAATTCTCTGAATTGAAGCCTGAATCCTGCTTGAAGAATATGCCATATAGGCTTTGGCATTAATAACATCTGAACGGTGAATCATAATGAAAAGAATGGCCAAGTATAGCTGCCTTTGCTTAGTGGTAGTTATACATCTGTGAAAAATCACTTGTTTAAATGCATTAACACATGCTTTTAACAAGTTCTGTCTGGAAGCGTAAAGGTTGGCAGAAGTCCTGCTTACATAAATTCTTTATTTTTGTGAATAATTTTTGAAGTAAAGAAAAAAACTTATATTCATCATTCTATTGCTATGAAGAAAGAAATTAAAATTTTTTGGCTCATCTGGAGTTAAAATATTGAAGATTTATTGCAAGATTATGGTGCAGAATATGATGGCTAACAAAGGCCTCCAATATAATAGTGTGGCAAATTCTTTATGGATAAAAAATTTAACTAAAATATAATCGAATTAAATATCAGTTATTCAAATTATGACCTGTACAAATATTTCTAAACCGCATGCCATGTGTAATAAATTATGAGTAGTGGAAATAAAAGAGAGTATACTTTTGAAAACTGTAACTGCTGACTGCCAGGTATGGATGTACTCAAATCTTTATTTAACCCTGTGTACTTCTTTGTATACTGAGATAATCACGTTGATCATTTACACAAGAAGTGAAACATAATATTCAGCATAGTGTTTTCTTTTATAATGCAGAAGAATCTGAGATGTTTAAGCTAGTTAAGTTCAATAGTAGTAAAAATTTGAAGCTAATTTACTTGATGTAAAAAAAAAAAAAAAAAAAAAAATACTTTTGATATGCATCAAATTTCATTTTATTATTAAATTGATAGAAATTTACAATCTGTGTGAAATACAATTTCATATTTTGCAGCCGCCGCTTTTGCATCCTTTTCAATTGCAATTCTCGGGCCCTTAGGGAACTGTTCCTGCGATTGCTGCTCATGCCTATATTCTTCACATTAATATTCTTATTTTATTTTCCCATCAATGACTTTCAGCACAGTTTTTTGACTCGCAATGGATTGATCTTGAATTGTCTGGTGGCAGTGTCTTTCCTGTCTGCTGTAATAACAGCTGTAACACGTGAGTTTTAGTTTTACTCAATTTTAATTTTAAGTTTTTAATTTTAGTATGTATTTAAATTTTAGAAGACTAAAAAGCCCATTTTAAAAATTTGAGGTGAAAATTATTTTTAAAAATAGTGTTTCAAAATTGCCAAGCAAAAATTTTTTTTTAATCTAAAAATTCTGAACTTATATTGCTTTGTCATCTGCAGGAAATATATAAAATAGCTAACATACTGCTTTGAATAAAATTTTATTTCTGTTATGTAAATAGGATAAGTACGTTAACAACAGAGAAGAAAACAATGTATTGCCAAAAGTTTTTTTGCATGATTGAAATTTGCATTTCAAATATTTTTCAAAACTTTTACGCACAAAACTTTAATTTTATATCATTTAAAATTTTTTGTACCTTTCATCAACTATTAATTGTCAGCATAAGTCACTTTTGTTGAAGGTAAATTCTTATTTAAGTTAAATTAAATTCTTTACGGATTTCGCTATGTATGGACTAAATGCTTTCTAAATGATGAAATGTGTTATTTGATATTAAAAAAAAAAAAAAAAAAAAAAAACTGTTGTGAAAGCAAAATACTTTTCTTTTTAGCATTTTCAATTTAAAAATACACTGATCAGTCAAAATATTTCAACTAATTTCTTAATACTTATTTCTTCACCTTTGCCTCGCAAGACAACTGCAACCTAAAAATAGTAATAAGTGTCTGGACAAAGATTGGTATGTACTTAAAAGTTTGTACCTATCATCATGACATCTTCCTAAAAGTATGTAATAAATTTCCAGACAAAGATTTGAAAGCAATACCATTCTAGTAGATTCCAAGGAGATGACTGATGAACTCTGCACTGGCTCATTCCAAATGTGATTCATATCCAACAAGTTCAAATGGTCAAGACATTAGCTGGAATTCATTAGCATGTTTCTCAAATCCATGTAGTTGAATTCCAGCATTGTGAGAAGTTGGAATTCAGCTGCAGGAAGACCTGCTGGAAGACTCCACTCCCAATGGAAAATATAGAAGCCACAAGAGAAAGCATAGAAACTAACTGGTAACTGGTTAGCAGTGATGTCTACATAGATGTCTACCTGTAAGATGGCATAACCTTGACACAGCCATTGTCATGCTAAAAAAGCGATTATGATTTGTATAACTTGACAATTCCTTTCTATTGTTGCATGGTTTCATCACAATGCTTATTGGCCCACTGTAGTCATAAATGTCAATGATGCTTTCCTAATAGAGACATGGGCATCTGCTGCAGAATTCTAGAACAAATAAGCCTCCCCCCAGATACTCCTGTACTTAAATCTGCATTGTATTCAGCTGTTAGTTGAATCATCCATAGCAGGACAATTTGTTGTCGCATTTATTGATAAGGTATGGGTTTCCAAATGCATTGCCATTTGGCTTTGGTATTCTTTTTCAATTTTCCATAGATATTAACAATGGCAACTCACAAACACCCTATAAAGAGTATCATTTCAAAGATAACTAAGTCGTAGCCTTCAGGCCATCGCAATCTGGCCTTTATCATAGTCACTCAACAATCTTTCCCATTATATGGACAGAATAATGCCTTAGCATCCACATCAGCAATCCACACAGCAGCTTCTGCTCGTGGAATAGCCCTTGATCTTATAAACATTCCCAACTTATCACATGGCATATGTCATTCCAGTGAGCACATTCTTTTAGTGTAGAGATGAGCATAATGTTTTGACTGATCAGTTCATATTAAAGTATTTTTTATTTTAGTTTTTCATAACTAATTTTATTTAATTTTCAATATTATAATTGCCTTCATATATGAGCTTTTATTGAAAGAATGTTGACTATTTTGACTGAACATTAATTTATGCTGAAAATTTATGTTTTACATATAATTTTGAATAGTTTAAGGTTCTTATGATTTGAGTACTTTATTATTATTATTTCAGATGCCCCACACAGAAATCGATATTACCAAGAGAGTCGAGAAGGCATTTACAGAGGCCCACTCTTCATGCTGTCCAGTATATTCTACAGTCTCCCTCTTAGCGTGGCATCCGTAACAGCAGCAGCAACAGTAATTTATGCGTATGTATTTTATACTATGTTTAAGTAACATGTTTCTATGTTGTTTAGCTTAAAATAGTAATAGAAGTAATAATAATAAAAAGGATACATATGCTAGATTGTAAATGCCTTTATTTCAAAAGTTCATTTTAAAAACATCTTAATATAAAGAATAAAGAAATATGTATGAACCTTTTTCTGAGAAATGGTTATTCTATGTCCAGTATTTTATCCTTTTTCCCATTTATTTCTTAGCAAAATTGTGAAGACTACCCAGTGCATTTTAAAAATTATTAGTGAAATTACCCAGCACATTTTTAAAGGTTATTTATAATTTTTAATACAAAACACTGAATTTAAAATCATAAAATACAAAACTGACATAGCATTCTGTTCTTGTTTTCCATACAAAAATTCTTTACAATTAGCAAACACAACTGAAAATTTTATGTGTAATTTACTGCAAATACATTTTATACTTCAGTGTATTACTCTGTGATTCCTTTGCATTTGATAGACATAATAAAAATGCTTCAACCAGTGCAATCTAATTACATACATTGCTTTATAATCAACATACATTTGTGTTTAAATATTCTTTTGTCATTACATTAAACAAGCTTTATTCAGATCAACTATTTTAAATGCTGAAAGATGGATCTCTGATTACCTGCAAAAATATCACATCATGCAAATATGTTGGAAGAAAACAACACAAGGAGAAAAAAATCGATCTCAAAATTATTACATACTTCTGTGAGAAGTGTGCATTTAAAACATGGTAGTCTGCTAGGGGATGATTGCACAGAAAACTAGCCTGTCTGCCTGCTACAAGTCTCCACTATTGTGATTCTTTGCTGGAGACAAAACCTTACTGAGCTCCTTCACATAGCATTTGTGCTATGTGAAGGAGTTAAAGCAAGGTTAAAGCAAGTAAGGTAGGAGTTAAAGCAAGCCACACCTGTGCATTCTCAGAGGTACATTTTGTATCGTCAGATCCTGCTAACTCTTAAGCTCTGTCCTAATTTGTATGGAGAACACCCCAGGGGGCATTTGTACTGACCATGGGATAGTCTACGATAATCACAACAACAGAGTAGGGAAATAATCCGTCTTCCTTGAAACAAACCTCGTGAAAGGACTTTGCCACTAGTTTAAGTGCCTTCATGCCACACAGACATTATACAATTATAAACATACAGGCCTTCTCTGGGATTCATACTCAAGCCCTATACTTTGGCAGCCAACAGTGCTAATAATGCTGAATAGAGTGAGAACTTGAATAATATATGTAGGTAAAGATTAATACCGATCAACTGATGAAACAAGCCAAAAAGTATTTACTGAAAGTCGCTATAAAATTAATTAAAACTAAAAAACTCAGTGGCACAACAGCCCTAGTGGGCCAGGGCCAACAATGCCCCAAAATCTGCTTTCTTGACCGTGGGCCCAGGGGTGCATATGCATATGCCCTGAACAAGTGTTCAGCTTGTCACAGGACCCCCAGTGTTTAGTCCCCAAGCAAACTTGGTACTCATTTTATCGACCCAATGGATGAAAAAGGCTGAGTCGGCCCAGCAAGGGAATCGAACCTCGGATCTGTGGTGCTGCTGCGTGATGTGCCAGAAACTTCATAAAAATAACACATGAGTAAATTATAAGGTATAAATCATACTTGCATGAATATTTCATCACCTTTCTTTTCTTAAATACATTGCATAAAATTTTCTTTTTAAAATTCAGACTGATAGTTTCACAACTAATTCTTTATCATCTTCCATACAACAGATTCACCAGCAACATGAATGTCTTTTCTAAGTACTATTTCACTGTGCTTTTAATTATGAGTGCTCTTCAGGTAGAGTAACTGAATAAAAAGTATACAGTGAAATGATCAAGGATTAAAAGTGTGCCGATTGTCTATATTTAAGCATTCGTCCCTATTTGGATATTTAAATAAAAATCCACTGAATATTTTGTTTCTTCCTTTATTTTTACTGTTGCATATTTAATACATTATGTTCATATTTAGAGGAGCAAAACTACGTGAAGAATGGGAAAAATGGGCTACCTTCTGTGCAACTCTTTGGACTGTGTATACATTTGCTGAACATCAGACAATAGCACTTATGATGGTTATACGATCATCATACACCTCATTCGTCACAAGCATCTACATTCTTATTATTTATATTACATTCGCCAGCGGCACAGTGAGGTAAGTAACAGTTAAACATTATTTGTTGTACACTAAAATCGCTTACATAATATTTTCCCTTGCAATCATATGTCACTGTGATGCACTTGATCCAACACTCAGAAAGTTTCATAATTCTCAAAGAATACTTTTTTTTAACATAAGCTCATACATAACATCAACAACCTACTCATTAGACTTGAATTTCTTTGCATTGCAAGCTTGTTCGTTTTGACTGCAGAGAAAAATAGTGCATTCTATTTCTTCATAGGGTTTTAATATGGTGTCTCTGTTCTCATAATGGTACAGGAACAGTATGACAGCATTCAGTTTTTTTTTTCTTTCTTTGTATTCTAGCCTCAGAAGGCATTGGCCTTGCTAAATTTAAGACAAACTTAAATTAATATTTCTGCACCTCTAATACTTAAGTTTTGTGATCTTTCTGATGATGATTTTCCAATTGATTAAATGAGTGCATCAATGGTTAATGAGCTCATCTTCATTTTTTGAGTTTCTCAGCCAATGAGCATTTGATTCATCTTTCACCTAGCCCTTAAGATTGGCACCGATTTTACACTTTACATTGAGACTTACCTCAAATTGATTTTCAAATCTAGAATAAATGAGATAGAATAACATATTTTTTAGTTAAAAATCTAATAGTAATTCACTGTGCAACACTGTTATAAAAACCTCATGCTATGACATATTGATTGCGACTAATGTATGATGGGAAAAAAAGACTAAAACTACTGTTGAGAAGTTTAAACATGTATGTGTTCAACCAATGAGTCATGATTAAATCAAGTTCTTTACAAAATGGAGCATGAAAATTCCTGTTTATATCTGAACATCCCTTTTATTATAATCACAACCTGCTTTACAAATTTGCTTAAAAATACTTATCCGCAATTCAAAATTTAAACAAAATTCTATTTTACATTAAAGTCAATTTTAGTGAATGCTGCAATTTTGTTTGAGAAAATTTAAGATACCTCTTTTTTGATTAAAAATTGCATATTTGCTCCTTGAAAAATTTCCCCCTTTATTTAACTTGTAATAAAAATGAACATTTTAAGATATTATATTGGCAGATACTTTACAAGAGGAGAAATAAGTAAGAATGACTAAAAAGACTGCATATTAATAAAATACCCATAAGAAACTTATTAAACTAAAAATAACAGTAATATAAAATTTATTTGCCTAATTTTATAATCTTTTAACATTACTTTAATCATTTATTATTTGGAGCTGCTAGAAGTAGAAAAAAGCCTTTATTATTTATTCTTTAGTTAAGATAATAAAAAACGTGATAGTTTTGTTAGCTTTGATAATTCTTGAGCATTAACAGAAAGAGCCAATGAATCCGTTGTTTCGCTTGCCTTCTACATTGGAACCAGATGATAATAGAATATTTCAGTTAAGCACTTCATTTATATTTTATTAAATGATTTGAATTTTAGTGCATTAATAATATACAGCTTTGTTCAATTTTAAATAAATTAAAGTGTTACATTCTATAATAATAGTTTAAATTTAAGCATATTTTTATGATATACTCATTTTTTAATTTTTTGTATTGGAGAACTGATACAAAGTAATGGAAGAATAACGGAAAAATTTTCTGAATTTAAACTTTAAGACTTGCTATATTTTAAACACTTTGGCCAAACAAACTTTGAGTAGAATTAGAAGAACTTTGAGTATTATTAGATATTGAATAACAACTTAATTTGTGTTAAAATTCTGACAATCAGCTAATCCTATATTCAGTAAATTAGATTCAAATATTCAATAACATTTAAGTAATTTACGACACTACACATTTTTTTATTTGTCTCGGAATATTATCATAATTTGTTCCTATTTCAAAGTAAAATGTCTCACTTTGCATAGTCAAGATGTCATTCATTGTTTGAGATCCCAATTTTAGGTAGTAAAGAAAAATAAATTTTAGTAACAAAATTGAGTTTATTTTTAAGCAAAAAATGGGTTTTTTATTTTAGAAGCTTAGTTCGACAAATTGTTATAAAAATTTGGCTTTCAAATGCAAAAATTAACCTGTGAACTTTATTCATCATTGGAAAATAAATAATAATAATAAATAATAATAATAATTTTTTACATTCCTGCATTTTAAGCTCCTTAATTTTTTGTATCTACTAGTTCAAACTTACAGAAGATATCTTCTAATTACATTACATAACGATTTCATGTTTTATAATGAAAAGCTTTTATGTTATATTTTTGGGTTTGATATTCAAGATAATTTATCAACTTGCATACAATCTTTTTAATGTAATTTCCTTCAAATAATAACAGTTTTATATCAGGCTAATGTTTCAATTTCTTAGAACTGTATTATGTATGCTTAACAGTGTTTAAACATATTTTATGAAAAAACACTTTTCTAAACAAATATAAAATTTTTTAGGAGCTTAACAGCATTGCCCGAATGGTTCTACTATGTTAGTTATGGTGTTATCTATCGCTATGCTGGAGCTTTTCTACAAGAGAATGAATTCTCAGATAATCAGAGGTTGGATCATGCAAACTACCTCAATGGTACTGAAGCACTTTCTTGTCCAACAAATATACCTGGAAGTTGTGTTTATGTAAATGGAAATCATTATTTACTCCAAAAGTATCCCGGCAATGGCAGAATTGAAGATTCGGATCTTCAGTACTGGATGAATTTTGGATTATGTTTTGTTTTTGTTGGTGGCATGTGGGTCATCAATACTATTCTTCATTTGATTCCTTTGCCGGCTTTTATAAAAACAAAATTTAGAAACTAACATTATAACCTTGTGATATGTTTTAAATGTGAACTGAATTATATTAAAATTTTATTTTTATATGTACCTTTTTTTTTTTTTTGCCTTGAACTAATTTTATGTGCATGCTATTAAGCAAAACTACATTATCAACACATTTTCATTCATTATTTACATTGTTCATAATCTGCATATACGTTGAGACTAGTTTTATTCCTAGTATATTGACTAGTTTCGTGAAATCATGAACATAAGTTGTACATTATGACAGCACATTAGTTATCACACATGATTATGCATTCATGCTTAACCTATTGGTTAATTATTTCATTAAAATTTAAGGATTATTAAATTTCACATGCCAGTAATTTAGCATAAATTTAAAATAAAGAACTGCAAATTGCATTTTATTTTCAGTTTTATAAATCAGCAGTGGACATTGCCTAATTCAGTGCATAATCTATATGTATGATCTTTTGATTAGATAAATTTTTGTTTTTATTAAATGTACTTTAATAAATTGTTTGAAAAACATAAAAAAAAATAAGTATTTGAGAGCAATTCCTGACAATATTTATGTGAACTTTTAATAGCTTTTAATAGAAACAAAATTTGATGCCCTAAAATCTTTATTATTTACTATTTTTATAATTAAATTTTTACTAAAATCAACAGCTGTGTAGTTACTGAAGTATTTGTGCAAAGTATAAAATAAAAATTATTAAATTTAAAAACCTTGTCATAAATAGAAATACATTTAAGCTCTCAAAACAAAGAATTTTTACACTATTCAAATGTAATGCAATGATGGAAATATTAAAAAGTCTTTGTTGAATTAATTCTAAATTAACAAATTTAATATAAATCAAATGATTTAAGAAAATTGTACTAGTCTAAGCACATTTTTTTGGCTTTGTTTTTGTAAAAGTGAATATAGAAGGTTTGATTTAAATTTGCGTACTTTAAAATTTAAAAAAATGTTTTAAGGTTTTTGAAAAGTAACGGAGTGGAAGTAACAATGGAGATGACATGAATGAATTGCAATTTGTCATATAAAAAAAAAATCTCCAATAATATCAAATCAGATTTAAAATTTTCAAATTTATCAAAAATTTAATTTTCAGAGGGATATCGGTAATTTTGCATGTCGCTGACAAGATGGACGAAAAAAAAAAAAAAAAAAAAAAACAGACTGGAACTGTTTGCTCATTGAAGTGAATCAGTTCTTTTTTACAATTTACCACTCACTGACAACCTTGATGAATATAATCGGAACAGAAGTGGGTCAAAAGCAGTGTGCAAAGAAGGGGTAAAAGCAGAAAGAATCAAACAAGGAGTGGGATCAACTCACTCGCCTAGACTCATTTCTTTCATTTGTAGTTTGGAGATTCCCTAAAAATACTTTTCCACATAAAAGTAACAATAAAAATTCTGGAATTAAAAAATTCTTAAACATTTGAATGAATGAATGAAAACTAAACTCATTTTTGTTATAGATTACATTATTTTAATTACTGTAATTGATATATTGTTTACTAATACAAAGAACAACACTAGAACTATGAGAACAACAAAACTACAATGTAAAATACTTAACACTAAAAATGTAATGTAATATACCGGTGTACCATATAAAACTAATCAAGGTTTTGATTTATGAACTTAATTTTGGTTAACTTTCCCAAGTGGCAGTTTTTTTTTTTTTTTTTTCTTTTTTCAGTATAATATCTGGTCAGTTTTTAACAAGATCCATTTGTGCGGCACTGAAGTAGCATGGATGCATAATCGTTTTGGAAGTTCATGCCAACAAGCGATATATTAGCTTTCAGGACTCCCACCACAATAAAGGGTCATTACTTCTAGGCAAATAATCCTCCAATAAATATTTATTAATTCCATTATTGCAGCAGATCTTGAGTCCTGTACCCCTTGAAGTTTGTTGATAGTTTCATCGAACTCTTCCCATAAGCAAGAGTTCTCAGTAGGTGTTACAGTTGGATTTGACTGTGCGGTGTTTGACATTGCACACCTAAAGTTTTCATTATTACTATAACATTATCAGAGCATTCTCAGTATTTCAGATCATCAGCAAAATCCTGTTTTTTTAAATGAAGATCCAAGAAAGTTGCCTGCATCACTAGCTCAACTGTTACAGACAAGCCTAAATCTGTCTGACAACCCTTTCAGTATATCATCAATTAACAACTCTGCTTCTAGTAACAATCTCATGTCTTTATTCGTCTCTATTATAATCTTTCATATAGTGTGCCATTAATCTTACTAAAATTCCTATTTTGGAAAGAGAAACAAAAAGATCTGATGATACTTCTTGTTTTACCCCATCAAAAACTTTTAAAACCTCTGATACCCATTTCATAATATTCCAGTCTTGACCTCACAAATTAAATGATTTTCCGCCTAATATAACAAAGCAAGAAATTATAGGTTCTTTGCTTAACAAAAACCTTTTTATATGATAGGTAGAATTCCACCTAGTACGTACTTCTTGTTTCAATTTTAGGATAACGTTCTCTAAATTCTTATACATTTCAACAAGTACATCACTATCCATTAACTACATCAACACTTTTCTATCTCGCCAAGCTAACATCAAAGTTGCAAAACCAGGTTTAATGAATGTGCAAAGCATGCTAGGTGTAAAAACTTTAAAATAGTAGCAGCTGATTTCAAATTTGAAAAATCTGTGACCAAAACTGTGATATTAAAATTTAATCAAATTTTCTTGAAAAAACATTGACCCAACTAGCAATATTTGCCACGGTTTGCCTATCTTTGAATTGAGAACATATATGATTTTAATTTTGAACTTTCGTCTATAAAGTGCACCATGGGCGCATAAAACTAAGATTATTAATATTTGCCCACTGGGGTCTGAAGTCAAACAATGGCTTTTGCACTCAACTCATTTTTTTAAATTTTAAATACTAATTCATTATAATAAAAAATGAGCAATAACGAATTTCATAATTTTTCGACTTGGCAAATTATAATTTGAGCAAAGCAGGTGAATGAATTTTTAAATTCCGCATCTTAAATTACAAAAAATGGATGGACTCCTTTTAAAATTGGTATTCTTTGCATATCATTTTTAGAAGCTGAGTGTCCAATGAACTATTCTTACTTCGCATGATCGGCTTTCTTATATAAATGAATTTATTTATAGACTGTTGTAATGCAGTAAGTGGTGAAGAAAAGCTGGATCTACATTCAAATTCAGAGCGTGAAAGGACAAATATGGACATGTCTTCAGATGAGTTGGACATTGAAGGAGAAGCAAAGCCAATACATGAAATTAATGAGAAAGAATTTCCCTAACTTCTGCTGCGGTTTGATCGCCAGTTGACGACCACCTTATAAGGTATTTCTCCCGACTTCTTGGTGTAATGCTCTGCACACTGGGTGCATATTCCAGAGGTCTGCAGTTCGATTCCCGGTGAAGGTGTTGCAAATTTTTCATCTCTCCTACTTCCAAATATTAACCTAATGTCTCTACAACCTTGGATGGCTTCCTAATCCTTACCGTTCAAACGGGACTGTCAAGTGTTTTGTCTTTAAATGCCTTTTTTAATTGGGGGCAGATTCCAAAGAACAAGAAATTGTTTGCTGACAATACTGGCATTCTCCTTTATCTAATTTGGCAAAATGACACCAAATATCGCTTGAGGTTCTTCTGTACGGTAGGATCGACATTTTGTTATGCAATAACATACATTAGATAAAAAATTTATGTTTATAAATATATACTAATTCTAAAGAAGATTACATAGAAATCGCAGCTCTCGCCTATTAGGCGTTACTAAAATATTAATAAAATAATAATTATAAATAATACATGCATATATATATAATATTAATATATATTATAATTAAATTAAATTGATAATAAAACTACTGTTCAAAACTTGAATATAAATTTAGTAAAAAAAAGAAAAAAAGATCTACCTATTTCTGTCTCCTGCAAATGGTTACAAAAACCGAGTAAATGCAAATGAAGCGCACAAATTAAAAATGGAAGTGTTTAACGAAAATTTTAAAAACTACAGAACATGATGAGACTGTAAAAATACAAATTGCAATAAAATTTCCCAAAAAATTAATCTCCTCTGTTAAATGTTTCAGATAGAACTTGTAAAGGAAGAAGTATTTTGAACCCATAAACCAAGTTGATTAATGAGTTTTGAATACATGTTTCCTTCCTCTGAACCGTTTGACTTTAAACCGCTTTTTCAGTACTTAAATCATAAATTAAAAAAAATGAATGAGTCTCAAATCCTCAGATGCCTATACTATGACATAGCAATTGAAGAATCAAAACAAAACTCAAAGGACGATCTCCAGACCAAGAAACTAAAACTGAGCAGATGCAAATTGAAAGCTGAAAATGAAAAGAGTAAATAATCGACTCCATAAGAACCAGATTTACAGCTAGAGAAGAAGCGATGGAAAGAATAAATATTCAAAACTCTGCAGGAGCCAGATCTGCAGCTAGAGAAGGAATGCTGGAGCAATGAAAAGAAGGAATAATTAAAACTCCAGAGGAACCAGATTTGCAGCTAGAGTAGAAGCGCCAGAGCGATGACAAGTGGGAGTCCGAGAAAACTTAATGCCTATAGTCTACATACTTTAAGCAAATCCTTGTGTTGCCAGATTGGGGGGGGGGAACTCGCCCATTTTCAAAAAGGGGTGGTCAGTTTTGCTGTGTTGGTTTATTTAATGTTTGGATTTTTAAATATCAGATGGAACACAAGCAAGCCAAAAGCATATATATATATACATACATACATTACACACATTAAAAAAAGTCAGAGATATTTCCTGTTAATAATAAAAGAAAGAATGTTAGTGCTTACATAACAGGAATGAAATGTTTTGGTTCACTTAAAGAACTATCATTCCTTTTTCGCTGGATCGCTGATCATTCACTCAGCGAATTGGTTCTTTGATTCAGTTCTGGAGCAGACTAGTCCAATTTTAGTTTGCTAGAAAGATAATACAAAATGCAGTGATTTTGCCAAAAACATCAGTTGTGTTTTCAAAACCAAATTTTGTTATTAGCTTTATTACTT